GTTAACTATCGTTTAAAGTGCAAATTACTACTAAAACTAGACAGTTAAATTAAGGGATATTGATACTATGTAGAATCTACATAGTACAGTACAGTTATATAACTAGGAATAGAACTTTGAAAATTGGTTTTAATTTTATTGGCACGTTCAACTCGTAAAGCATCACGACATCGATGTATAGACGATTTATTTATAACCAAACTATCAATATTGTTACCCAATGCTTCATCTGTTGCTTGAATAATATAAACTGAGTCCCGTACACTTAATTTACATCGATCTAATGCAGTAACAAGCTTTAGAGAAATGAAATTTGTGCGGCCCCTTTTTTCTTCTGATAATGTCATTGGTATACAAGTGCATTGTGTGAATTCAAAATCTGACGATGACGACGATGAACTCAAGGAAATATCAGATAGTTGATTTTGAATTTCAGTTGCATTATAATTTGAATGTTGAAGTTTTCGATTTGTTAGTTTTTCTATTTCATTATATTTACATTTTTCTGCTTTGTTTTCATTTTCAAGTAACTTTTTGTCTATACTACCAAGACAACCAATTCGACCAGGAAGTCTTTGATTAATTAAAAACTGTTTGTCATTTTCAATTTTCATTATATTTAAAGCATTAACATGTGCAATATCAAATAAATTGTTCAGTTTGTTTATGAATTCTGTTTCTTTTCATTTAAATGAACCTACCTTTTGTGAATTTTTTTGTAGAGCACGCCATTCTTCGTACACATTTAAAAGTTTATTAATACAATGCTGAACTGCTCGGACAGGAATTCGAGCTTTTTCCCAAAAAATATTGCATTCACGAACGGCTAACGAAGCACTTTCTCTCGTATTAAGTTTTACTGTTCTCACATTATAAAAAAATATTGAAAGCACTTGTCCAATAGGCGGGAGTTTTGAGCCTAGTATTTGGGTAGAAGGTGACCCAATCAAAAATATTTGTTCATCAGCTCGTAATTTTCTAGACATATTTGCAAAACAATAAGGTACCAAAAAAAAAAAACGTAACAACAAACGATGTACTCAACTATATCACGCACCGTAACGAAGACGACTACACGATATTATTAATAAAAATCTATTAGACTCGTAGATCGTAATCCATACCATTCTTATCTAGAAAAAATTCGATAATATTGAACATAACGATGTTTTTAATGTTCAAATAATCTAATGATTTCTGTAATTGTGTGCAATGTGCAATGTGTATTTATAAAAATTCATAATATAATTTTGAGAAAATAGTACTTTTATACACAAAATTCAATATATCTTGTAAATTATAATAAATAAGAAGAAGTATGTAAGAACATAATTTATAGACAATTTTATTATATTTAAAATATATTTTGTAACACATTTTAATTTTCCTAATTGTAAAGGAGTTATATATGAAAATGTAAAATATATCATTAAATTATGAATGAATTAATATACTCAAATTTCAAATTCAAGTCGGCACGGGTTAACCTTAATAGATTGACTTAAAACTTTTTGTAGTTCGTTTTTGTAGGCATATACACAAATTAAGTGGGTGAGACCAACAAAAATGCAAAAAAAAATTTAAGGAACACCCTAATGTAGATACGAAAATGCGGGTATTGAAAATACATCATGAGACTTTGATTAAAATATTGTTATCGAATAATTATTTTAACAATACTATTCAGTATTTGATTTACACACCTGAATGTTTACACTTTGTCTCACTGAGTACTACTTAATCATAGATTTATAAGTAATATCCAATACCCAAAACAAAAAATGTATCATTATCATTAAATGACCGTAAGAATTCATCATCAGGCATTAAGTCGCAGTGTTACACAGAAATACTCGCAAGGTCTTATGTTAGTTAACAAATCACTGTACTTAAGACCTCTCTAATATAATGTACTTTGTACAATAATTATTACCTATAAAATGATGAACATACAAATTCATGGATCGGTGCCATTACATAGTATTGTTTGTTTACCCAAATATGAAGTCATTGTACCACTATTCTTGTGTTTTGTAGTAAAGTTTTGAAAAAAAAAAAACGAAAATTTACAGCCGGTAATAACGCGTTTATTTTAGTTTTTTTTTTCTTTTTATTATCGTGGCACACGTGACAAAACGCGACCTACAATTTAACAGCGCGTTAAAATAAAATAAAACGAGAGAAAGAAAAGTCAATAAAAAAAGCTTTGAGATTCCATTTGTCACCCTGGCAGCCACGGCTATATAGCTGTATGTAAGGGTTTGCGCGCGCAAACGGATTTTACGAGGCGTGAAAGGACGGGTGTCGGCCCAGCGGTAGCGGCGGCAGTGATTGAAGTCCGTCGGTCGGCGTTGGCAGCGGAGAGTTTATTGGTTTATGAATTTCGTGTATTTGGTATTGTATACAACCGTGTGCATGCGTGTGTGTGTTTGTGTGTGCGTGTATTTGTGTGTGTATGTACATGAAGACGAGAGTTTAGTAAGTTCTAGAAATCGATGTGAAGCGGGGTAGGAGAGTAAACCCGAATGCGCTTTCGTTACTTTTGCGTAGACTTTATGATTGTGTGTGTGTGTGTGTGTGTGTGTGTGTGTGTGTGTCGACATAAAACGAAACGGTATGATTTCACCATTAGCGGATTAATGGACACACACGCATCGTCGTCGGTGGCGGGTATAGACCGATTTATTACACCTCCTCTGCTCATACCCTTGCGCCCCATTTATATATATACAAACATATAGACCATATCCCTCGTGCGCAGCACGACTGTATACACATACACATATTATGTACATAATATATACCATGTTGTGTGTGCACACCGCCACCCCCGAGCGTTCGTCCTCAGCTTACACAGCGGGGTTAAAGTAAATTGAACGCTAAACCGTATATAACTGCGACCTAGGAGCAGAGGGCGCGTGATTTGTCGCCTCCGCACGACGCATGTACGTGCACATTTATACATCATCGCGTTTTATCACTGGCTAGTTTTATTTATTATTAACGCAATTATACGTATAGGCGTGCGTGCCGCAGGTATGTCACACATTCGGTCCATCCCATGGCATACTTGTAGGCTGTAATATTTACTTTTTTAAATAATACGTTCATAAATTCGTATTGATTATTGTATGAAAAATGATATACCATGTTCGTTATACACTTTAAACAAACCGAACAAATCAATAGTTCAATATTTATGACGAGCTTATTACTTTTATTAAACCACAAGAACTTACTGTATAATTTATCCAGACTCCGTCAGCTTGTATCGGAAAAAAATATTCTTCAGTATTTTATTTATTTATTTGTATCTAATGTTTAGGTATAGCTTAATATGATATGGTTTGACTATAATTTATTGCGAAAGGTTATCAATACATAGTCAATATTATATCCTATGTTCAATTAAAATATTAATAGAAAGACTATGTATTTATTTCTTGTATCTATATCAAAATAACATTACTATAAGAAAAGAAATAGTCAAAGTGGCTAAACTGCAGTTTCGCCGAACTTATGAAAAACTGTTGCGCGTGCCAATGGTTATATGTGTCTTAATTAAGCACAACTTTCTAATTACTATGATGAAAAACCGTCACGGTTACCCGGACACGCTTTTATTGTATATTTTTCAATTTTATATTTGTGTGGTATAATTTATTGTAATAAAACACGAAGAATCTCAAAAATAAGTATCTTATACACTTTTAATTTTATATTGTTTAAATAATCCTTGTTTGATTAATAGCGGTTTCCCGCATAATGTTTATACTAACCACTGTGGTGGAAAATAATACAAGATTAAGAAAGGGTTAAAACTATTAAGGAAGTGAGAAAGAAATTGGTTTAAAATGGTCCCTCATCGCTAATTTTGTTATATGTTAACAATCTTGCATTAATTTAAGTGTCACTACCTTTTTAACATCATTTTTATCGTCATTCGTTAAAACTGTTCTGGTTAAATTAAATACAATTATATATAATGACGTCACACAAGATACTATATAGTATATAGCATAGGCGGCCAAACTTTTTTCAGTCACGATCTACTAAAAATATACTTCCCTTCGAAGATCAACTTTCATGGAAAATTTTTTATAAACTAGAATAAAAGATAAAAACTATACAGATAAAACTTATCGACAATTTATTCATAACCACCACGATTAATATTCATGCACGTGGCCTAAAAATACATTTTTATATAATCCTCCGCGATTGACCGTTTGGCCGCTCCTGGTATATAGTATATACTATATGGTTTTACAACAAAGATAGAATATATATTGTATCTGTTGTAAGACTGTACTATATTTAAACCACTTATAGAATAGACTTGGAAGTAATATTTTTATATCAGATATTCATGCTATACTAATGTTTTTAAAATAATTTCACGAAGTATTTACATTTCCAATTTATTGCAATGCTGTTCCTCCACTATAAACATTGATATTATATTGCAACAATTTATATGTTAAATTATTTTATGTAATACGTGGAACATCTAATTGCATGGGGTGGACGTACAAAAATGAACTCTACTGACATCAGAAGGCATGAATAAATTGGTTTTCATTCAGTAATCCCTAGGTCAACGGGATTACAGGATTATTAGATACAACCCCTCTACTTTTATTACTTTTCCCCTGCCAAACATACGGGTGGGAGTCCACGTCTTTTGATAAATTATAGTACAAAATTATAACTCCCGAAAGCCTAGATATTGTACATTTTATTACTTACAAAATAAATTAGTATAACAACAATATAAGCATTTTATTACATTTCTTTTGTTTGGAATGCGGTGTTTATTCACATTAAACTTTCATGATTTTTTTCTTTACTTTTCTAAATTATATAAATTCATTTTTTCTCTATATATTGTTTTTATATCAAACTGCACATATTAACTATATGTTGATCAAAATTTAATCACATAAACGTTAATAAGCCAAAGCAAATATTTTTTTATGCAATTTTTTTTTATCATTAAGGTATGGTTCCAAAACCGAAGAGCGAAATGGAAAAAACGTAAGAAATCAACAAACGTGTTCAGAAGCCCTGGCGCTCTGTTGCCGTCCCACGGACTACCGCCGTTTGGATCCATGTCCGATAGTTTATGTCCTACATCAATGTTTAGTTCTCCAGACACAAGATGGGGCGTGACCAGTATGACTACAGGTAATTTTATTAATTATTTGCTTTCCTTAATTTAAGTTCTTACACTTATATTTATCTATTAGAATTTGTTACAAAAATTACTTATTTACTTATACTTTTAAAGTATATTAAATATTTTATAAAACCATTTACCTTAGTATTATAATAGGTTTACTAATGTAGTTAAATAAACAAATTTAAAATACTCCACGTACAATGGTTTATTTTAATTTTCGACTTGGTATAGTACCATTTATGATAATTATAATATGATTTTACTATAATTTAACTATTTATTTGATAGCTACATAGAATTAAAATAACTTGGAACATAAAACATTCCTAGGTCTTAGTCAGCTGGCCGGTAGTACAGTTACCATGAGCGGATACAGTCATCAGAACTCGTCGCTCAGTTCCGTGCCGATCACTACGATGGCTACCAACGCTCAGAATATGTATCAAGCCCATTATGGTCTCAATTCATTAGGCAAGTAAACACAAGTTAATTGTTTTATTTAATAAGTAGAGTTATCAATAAGAAAAAATATTCTATTAAACAATGTTTGACCAGTAAGTCAAAGCGTTTAATTGTAACGTTTTAATTGTTGCGTTTAAGGGTTAAATGAGGTCAGTCATATAAGAATGATTGCCCCAAGTGCCAAGTTTTTTTCAGTATGTAAAACCACCTTCTCTCTAAAAAATTAATTTTTCCTTAATTAAATCACTATGTAATATTAATAGGATACGGATGTTGTTGCATCAGCAACTTTTCTTTTACTGCTCTAGTTTATTGATAAGTAAGTTTTAATTGCGTTTCGTGTAAGTACGAATGAAAATCTAAAAATTTAAAATGCAATTTTTCACTATGTCAACATTTTTTCAATTTTATTGTAATTTTGTTGATTTTACTCATAAATAAAAACAATTTTAACTAATTTTTACATTTTCATATAATTTCACTTTTTTTATACTTTTTAAACGGTTTTATAATAATTCCATGAAATAAAATTGTCAAATTATTTCGTCTGAAATACATGTTATATCGATGTATATTGTTTAAATATCTTATTTTCTATTGATATTATTGTATATATAGTCAAAACGATAGTTTGATTATTTTTAAAATGGTATCAATTTCGTCGTACTGCGATTATTAAATTCTTCCTATTTTCCAACGCCTACAGATAAGATGATACATTTAACACAAAAAATATTGAAAAGTTCATGAAAGTTATTAAAAAAAAAAAAATACCGGATTTAAAATCATAAGTATAATAAATGATTTACTGACTGTAGAAAGAAAACAGTTTGATAGTTTACCCGAAGATTTAATGGTAAGTGATCTAGTTTATTTTAAGTAGGTTCCGTTCGCATCAACCGACTTAGAACAAAGTTTTTCAAAGTATAAAAACTAACTGGCTCCAAACAAAAGAATATTGAATTTTGAAATTTAAAAAAATTACCTACAGTTCAATGCAAAAACATTTTTAAGTATATATTTTTATATATTTCATGTATACATTTTTATAAATTGTAACTACTGAGTCAGTGATATATATAATAAATAAATTACAATAAGTTAATGATCAATAAAAATAAACCTAATTTTATGAATTATAACCAGGGCTTGAAATCGATTTCAAAATAAATTTCAAATATCAATAAAAATCGTTAAAAATCTTTTAGAAAATCAAAATCAATATAAAAATCCTTATGTTGGATAATGATTTTTATAATATATATTGAAATTGTAAAAAGTTAAAATCCATATTTTATATCAAAATTAAAATCATTTTAATAATTAAAACGATTTTAAATCAAATTAATTTGAAATTCTACAGCCAACAGGTCTATTTATATTGTCAATTCGAAGACATTGCCATATTTGGTAATAATATTGATTATACATAATCATAAATAATTAGTACCAATTTTGTTATCTTAGAATATTTACGATAAGGAATCAGCGTTCGACGAGCGATTGTTGTTTTTATACACACGATTTATTCCGTATAATATACTATACATAGATATTTTGTAGTGTATTATTATAGATAAGATATTAATTTATAATACTCCATTGGCTGTCACCCGTTAGTTATAATTTTAACCAATAATATACAATTAAATAACCTAAAATAGTTTTATATAGTACTATTGCAGTCATTACAGCCTACAACACTATTATGCTGATGATGCACTAAAATTTGAAAAATTATTATAAATCATGGATAAAATTCTGTTGTGAACCCGAAATCGAAAAAAAATAAATACTGATTTCTGAAACCGAAGATGAAAAAAATGAATATCGATATTTAAAATCAAAAACGAAATTGCAAAAAATAAATATCAATATTTGAAACCAAAATCGAAATCAAAAAAAAACTAATATCAATAATCAAAATTGAAATTAAAATCGAAATTTTTTATTTCGATTTCAAGCCCCGACTAAAAGAAGTAAATAATTTATTATTATTTTTATGTGAGTTATATGATTACCAACCTCAGATTTATATTATCTAACTAATAAATATAGTACCTATTTATCGTTTTAAGTAAGAGGCAAATGACAATGCCGTACCCCATGCCATGAGGGTCATTAAACACGCAATTAATATGTAGGAAGGTAATAAAATAAATAATTTTATTTATTTATACATATAGACTTGGCTTACGTGTTGAACTCATAACACCAATGTGGCGTTGTGAGGAGTATTGACAAGAATATTTTAACATGAAAGTGTGAAAAACACCACATTGCTATATTATACGTCCATCTCGAATTCTAACGTAGACGCTCATAATAATATTGCTATTATTATTTTTTTTTTTTTTAATTATTTATAAATTATTAAATTATAATAACGTATTTAGATAATATTCTATTCAGTATAAAATATATTATTTACAAATTATATTTTTACCTGAAATACAAATAATACACAAATTAGCTTTAGTTTACTACCTAATCTTAATAAAAATTTTAAATGTAATTCATATTATATGTACATAATACAATATAAGTACATTTTACTTTATAACTATTTATTGAAATTGAAAATATTATTTTTCAAACTACAGTTAAAAAAATATTAAAACTAAACATTAATGAAAAAATTTATTCGGTTATAATATAACAATAATAATATAATATGTTAACGCAAGGACATACCCAAGGGGGGTTTTCGGGTCCGGACCCCTCCCCCACATTGATATTTCTACATACTCAACGATTTAATAGTAAAAAGTATAATAATAGTATATAGTGTATTTTAATTTCCCATTATCTTCAATATACAAAGTTTATAGATTATATAATATACCTATAATGTAAACCATACTATAGTATATTAACAATATTTTGTTGGTATTGATTTAAACTATAATTATAATTAAAGAAAAAATAAAATAAAAATGTTGGACCCACATAAAAAATTCCTAGGTACACTCCTGTATTAACGTCATATACCTCTATAATTGTAGTATGTAAATATAAATGTCGTTGACGTATATACGAATACAAGTTCTATAAAAATTAGTAAAACCAAGAATACATTTTTCAAATTTCAAAAGCCAAAATCATTTATTTAAAATCAAAAAATTATTTTTCTAGCTTGGTCTGTAAAACTTTGTTGCATTTATTTTGTTTATATAAATTCACATATTTGCATTTTTTCTAAAACTATATTAAAATAAAGTAAATAAATAAGGATACAGTAAAATTATAATTTCCAGTTGCATTTAAGATTCTGGGTGAAGCGAACAATATATTGGTTTTACCATTATATGGTTTTTTTATTTATTTATTTATTTATTTACTTTTCTGAGTCCTTGTTCCATCTCCACGATTTTGAGTAAAAATATGATCCCTTTTCACTTACAAAACTTACAGCATATTTTGTTAAATACTATTGATTGAGATACTTAGTAAGTACTTTTACTAATTATTTTTTACTTTATGTAATAATTCTATAACTCGTTTATACACATTTACATTTTTTACAAATCGTTAGCGCGAAAAAATACAATTCTATTGCGCACATACATTTTAGCTACCTGTGACAGGGGCGTATTTAGACTTATTTCTAGGGGGGGGGCGACTCAAATTTTTTTCTTTAATTCAGGCTCAAAATGTAGAAGTCAAATTTTGGTAATATTTAAATCGGGTGAATCCTTAATATTTATGGTTTTTTTTTAATCTAATGTCGGCTCCACTTAGAATCGACTTTTGTGTAGTTATTTTTTAACACCAGTCTGTGTTTTGAAAGTTACGCTTGTGTTTTATTAGATTTTTCACTAAGTATGGACCCAACAAAAAGCCACATTCAGTATTCACAGTCACGCGTAATTTATTTTCGTTATAAAATGATCCACATTAAAATAATTTGAAATGTGTATCTCACATACTCGTATAATCGATTCCTTAAATACGGATTCAAGAGGCGGGCGATCGCCCTTTTTGCCCCCCCCCCCTAAAATACGCCCTTGACCTGTGATGAAAATTCCCAAAAAAGAAAACTTGTTTACTCACACAGATATTCGGTAGGTATTTCGTATCTGGTACTGGTCATACATTGACTACAGATACTTATAATATACAACCAAGTTATAATGAAGTGTTTTCGAAATTATTATTATTAAATAAAAAAAAATTAAATTATATTTGAATGATAACATTTATTTCCAATATTTTTTTACATAAGTTGAACGATCAATAGTTTTATTTTTAAATAATTTCACATATCTTGTAAGTATTCTTCCTTAAATACAGTTTCTTTACTTTTATATATCATTCAATTGTTTTTTATTGGTTTATTTTGAAATCCGTTTCACTCTGGATTTACATGATAACTTAATGTAGGTATATGTCGATGTTTTGCATAAAATTGGTTGTTATAATGTTTATGGTAACTTTCCGTTCTATTTGTCGTATCGATTACTATTTAATTCACGATTCCCATAAGATAAATTATTGCGATCGATAATTAATTTAATATATATGTGTGTGTGTATGTGTATGTGTGAGTGTGCTTGTATGATCGTGTATAAACGAGTCATCCGTTTACAGGTTAACGATGGTTTTTTATTTTGTGCGCAAACGTGTTGCTGCCGTGTAATAGAGGTATTCATTTTTGTTTTTACTATCAATAATTTGACTTTTTACAATTTATACATTTGAAATTGATTATTTTATTTTTTATTGTGCTTGAATATTATGTGAAATAACTGTATTGCCTTCACCTAAACTCGAGTCCAAGAGACTCATCCATTCCTCCCAAATTTCATCAAAAACTCTATATTATTAAATAATAAATATAATAAAATTATGACTGACTAATGAACACGCATTCAAGACCGTATTAGCGCTTAGGCACTATAGGCACTGTGCCTAGGGCCTACGATTTATATTTTGTAAATTGGTAAAAAAAATATTTTTTTTTTTTATGGTTTTTGTCAATTCATATTATATATGTTTTGGATTAAAACGAATTTTTTTAACATTTGTTAAAAATTTTATCGTATGAAAACTCATAATAGTTATATAAAAGTTAAGATTTGATTTTTATGTTGTAAATATTATTGCATTTAAAAGCTTAACACTGCATGAGATTCAACACTTCCTCTCCCAAATAGAAGGTTTCTTAATCATTTAAATGTTTGACATTGGTCTTGCAAAGACTATGGGCCTGGGGCCTACAATAATGTTAATCCGGGCCTGTACGTATTAGACAGTCTATAACCGTTCGGCAATTAATACATAAAATTATAATATCTAGTTATCATTTTGAAATTTGAAAATTAAAAAATACATACCTTGTTAATGAGCTAATATTAGAATCAATCTTGTCTTAATTATAGGTGATTCGAACAAATGGCGATTTTCCAAAGAACAGTTCAAACCCTATCCAGCTGACTCTCAGTTATTTTGAAAATCGAGTGATTCATTATGTATTGTGTAAGTAGATTGAAATTATATTGTTACATTAAACTTAAATGGAGAAAATGGATATAAATACTTGGAAATAAAAAAAAAAAAAGTAAATTTGTAATAAATTATAACTTATGAATATAATGAAATATTTTCTTTTCAGATCCTGTTTTATATGCATGATAGATAACTGGTAACAGCAATAACTAAGAGTTAACAAATGCTGCAGACGTATGGGAGCCGATCAACTGAAAGAGTCTTTTCATAAAAAATATTATTATTATTATTATTATTATTAGTGTTTGGTGATGCGTTCTTAAGGTTAAGAATATTTTAAAAACTAAAAATAATGATTATTGTAAGATTATAGTGGCAATTACTTTTTTTTTTAATTTGTTCCTAGAACACAAATATAAAGATATACAATCACATGAATATCCCTGTATAATAGGTACATACAGCAACCATCAATGTACCTAAACCAAAAACCTAAGCACAAATATAAAAGTTACCTACAGGCTTCATTACATAAACATATTGTACATTGTATGAACACTTGTTTAAATTCTACTAATTTTCACAACATTACACTATAATGAAAATGCCATGTTAATGAATAAAACTGTGAACGGACCCGTGACAATATAATATAATTATGAATTTTACTCCGTTTTACTTATGGTGATTTATTTGTATTAAATTAATGTTTTGTTTTTTAATAAACGAAACCATCATGAAAATTTTTTCGGAACATCCGTTAAAAATATCAATATATATTATTGTACATTTGTTCTTTAAGTCAAAGGAATTTTTTAAATGTATACATTTTGTACGTTATTATTTGTACATTTATTTATTTTTTCGTTGCAATTTATGAGGGATTATAATTATAAGTACTCAAGTAATATAACTATATTTGACCAAATATAATTTCACCTACGATCGATCTGCATTATGAAAAAAAAAGTTTTTAAAATTTAACAAAACAATAAAATTAACTATTTAGTGGATTAATAAATATAAAGTAAAAATGTCAAAAGTACAGAACAATATTATAAAAATGGTAAAATGAAGAAAATTTGAATAACTAACATTCATAATGTAGTAATTATGTTTGGGTAATATCAGGGATTAATACAATTATGTCGGCGCATATTATTTTATCCACAAAGTATACGTTTGTATAGATATATTATTACTGTTAGCGATATAATGAATACTAAATATTCTAAAATATCTATATTTGTACCTAGTATTAAATTATAAGTTTATCTAAGATAACTTTACATCATAGTTGTATAAAATTCAGTTTTTAATAAATTTATAAGACATTTGAATAAGGTAGCTAAGACTAATGTATCTACCTGTTAACAAAGTGTTAAATATTCCATATTTATTTCAATTCATATATCTTTTGTCGTCAAAAATTATTTTTGATAGTTCGTATATCTATAGGTACCTTTAATTGAGTTAAATGTGCATTTATTTACTATAATTGGTTTGTATTATAATCGTGGTGTAACATTTGAAAATATTTCATACATAATTTATTTTGACAATAAAGTATAGGTATTAAAATGTATATAATATATAAATTGTATTTTTCCCAAAACGGCTACACCATTGTGTTTATAATATTTAAAAACTATTTTCAACGACGTGTTACTGTTTTTTAGTTATTTTATGTATACGGCCTCCTCACAATTGTTTAAATATTCCGATAAAGTACACGTCATATACTATATAGTGGTACCTACACTATACGTAATACGGGTTAATGTGGTTTACGGTACAAATCAATATATGTATATTACAGTTAGAAAAAAAAAGAAAACGTATTTTCTAAAATTATTTTACAGATGTAGATTACCAATTATACGAGTGTATAATGTTTGATGCCGAAGCAAAAACGTATCCATGATCAACATTTGGGACAGCCTCGGTAGCAAGTATTTTTTTGACGTATAAATCTGTGCAAAATAATACTAAATTAAATGTAGGTAATTACTGATCAACAGTAGTGTAATGGAGGGTACATGGGGGTACACGACGTGTATCCACTTCCATTTTTTCAGAATATGCGTGTACCAAATAAAAAAACCAAGTCCATGGGTTCACGTTCGTGTAAATGCTTATAACCACTCTTAAGTTTCTTTATTTATTTTAAAAATATATTAACATTTGTTAATTTACAATTTTACACTGATGTTTCATGTGAATTGTATTGTATTACCTTCGTTAATCTTAATTCGTCATGCATTAAGTATCACTTGAAAATTATTTTGCAATAAGTGCAATTATTATGCAATATTTTGTAATTTATAGTTGCTATAAATAAAAATGAAAATGTTAATTGTAATGTGTGTGACATGGCTGTAACATTTTATCAAACACAAAATTTAAACTAAATCGTAATAGAACTTTGAGTTATATTATATTAAAAATAAATAATGTAGTATAGTTTACAATTGATGATTGAGAAATTATATTTTTAAGAATCTTAGGGGGGGGGGTGAAGCCCCCCACATCATATTTTTACTGTGGAAATTTTATTTTTGACAAAATTTAGCGTATACCCACTCATATTTTTAGCACTACATCATTGCTGATCAATATTTTATACCAAAATCATCAAATTTATGTCGACGTTCTGTGACGGCGACCGTGTGTGAACTGATGACAGACGTATACCAATGCATAAACAACAATAATTATTGACGAAATATTTATTATTCTTATCTTATACTTTTTGTCGCCACTCGATACTGTGTTCACTATCGCGCCGCGAAGAAAAGTATTATAAACGTGTTCAAACGATTAATAAATTTCGTAATATTCAATGTGCAATATTAATACAATTATCATATTCCTTTAAAAACTAAATTATTATGTAAAAAAAGCATTGGTTATTATTTATTTTTATTTAAAACCAGGTGAGGTTAGGTTTATTATATCTATTCGCTAGGCACGACTGTTCACCGAAAAATATTATATTTTTATATATTTTATTATATATACGAGTAATTCCTATGTTATATTAAAGACTAAATAATTCGTTTTATGCAATAGGTAAGTATTTAAAGTGTTTTTTGACATGTTAAAAATTTAATTTCATAGATATATTATTGTCATATTTGTTTGTGAGTGAATACCTACTAAATATTAATATAATGTCATATACTTATTGGCTACTTATAAGGTATACCCACCAGCATAGGTATTTTACAAATTATTTTTGCACCAATTCATGTGAACCTCACGAGCCACCACTGAATTAAAGTAAAATGTATTGTTTTATTATAGTTTATTTATGTAATTTTTCAATTACCACATGAAAGAAAATATGAGTTAACTACTTAATAAATTAATAATATTGTCAGTGGTATGGTGAATATTAGTTTTTGATGCATGTGACTCAAAATGTGTGGTGTTTTCTAATGCTATGGTACCTTGAGAATAACATAAAACTAACTTCACATAATACTGACGTAATTAATTAAGTAAATTTAAGGAAGAGACTTGTAAAATGTAAGTACCTACATTTAAAACACATGTGAAAATAGAAGTATCACGGATATTACGATAACCCACAACGTTATCTGAGGATAAGTCGTGAACATGTATGTGTGATTGCTAGTTTTGAAAAAAACATATGTCAATATAATCATTAGCTTAAATAATCTATTATAATCTATTTTATAATTCATTATCAAAACCTATGTTTTTATTTAACATTTAAATATTATTCATTTTGATTTTAATACTTCAACAGATTTAAAAAAAAAAATACTTTAAAAGTTTTTAACTTGAGAACATCATAATAAAATGTTGGTTGTGATTCTGTGTCAACAGAATAAACAGTTTTACAGATTACTGATTCTTAGCATTTTACACAAAATGTAAGCATTATATGTAAGTACATACGTATTATAGTTACGAACAACTAGTGCACCAAATTATTTTAATAATTATACATGACAACATATTTTAACATATAAATGTTGACTGTTGATTAATATATTGTAGTAAATTTAACTATCGGAGTTTTTTAACATATTGTTATGATATACAATTTTATAGTATTTATAGTTATAATTAATTATAATACATACCTATCACCGTCATACATTATAATTCTACGTTTATAATATTCAAAATATAAATATAATATATTAGGTCGGAGTCGTCCATCATAATTAATCACTTTTTTTAACTCATTATATAGATAAATAAAAACGAGTATATATTATCTAACAATAAAATATTACAATATTGGTTTCATACTTATATGTGCTAAACATGATAAAGTACGTAATAAAAAAATTATAGTACTAACCGAATATCCCAACCTTGCTGATTGTTTTATAATTATAGCATGAGATAATAAACATATTGATAAGTATAATATTCATTGTTATCGAACTTTAACAGTTAAAAATCATTTTTAAAACTATTTAATTCAATTAATTGACAAAATAATTGTATATAATCAAATAATTCAATTGCACCAATATCAGTCGTATCATTTGTTGATAATAAAATTTCCAAACGTTTACCGTGTTTTAATAGGGTTTTATAATCACAAGACTTAAAAATATAAATTTTATTAAAGACACTGAAAAGTAATTACTGTCTTTTATTGTCGAAATGTATGAAATTTTGGTGCTGTAATTCCTGAAAAATTGCATGTCACCTTAAAGCAACGCATTATTTGTTTATAAACTTTTGACGAGATAAGACAATCTTTAAATGAAACCTATACATTTTTAATACAAATCACAGCAGTAAATAAAGTATATGTAGAGTGGAGTGTCTAGAGAATTCCTCTTAATTAAAAAAACGATGTAAATAACGGTAAAAATTGATATATTTGGCAATGTTATAATACATATTATATACGTATAAATACATTGTTTGAGCTATGGCGTTTTTGAGTAGGCGATTTATGGATTGCATGAGTTAAAAGTTCTGAAAAAAGAAAAAGTTAAAATTAAACATGAATAATCAATAACAATAACATTTTGAGGCTGTACTACAATTTATATAAAGAATTGAATCATTGAAAATATTATAATTTTTCAAAAATTATAATTATGTAACATTAATAATTTTTAATATTAATTAATTTTTTTTTTTTTGTAGTAAATTTTAAATAATACAAAATGAAATAAAAAATATTTTAAATAAGTACTTAAATTACTCATATTACTTTAAATTTAGCACTATGAATTACAAATTATAACTTGATTATTTTAAATAGGCATTATTTTGTTAGATGTATTTATCTATATAATTTCATGAATTCAAGATATTTATAATAATACATTTATTTACATTTTTTTTCATTTATGTAGATAATTTAAAATTAAATTTAATTATTAAATTTATTTTTTAAAAAAAATGGCTGTACTAATTGCAGATACATATGATGGTAATGAAATTATATATGGTATACCAATGATGTTTTCAAGTCTTGTACTAATAATGATATTAATTAATATGAATATAATCAACCGACTAGTTACCTATATTTGTAATTAATAATTTTTAAGTTTTTAAAAATCAAAATGTTGTTATTTTTCAATGAATATAAGTAAAATTTAATAATCAAAAATATTTAGAGGTAAATTTAAATACACACTATTAATGAGCCCATTTTTGGTACGGCTTTGGCGACAGTCTTAATGACCTTGGCAGATTCGACTTGTCCGACGACAATGATGTTCATGGATACCTTTTCAGCGCCCATTTTGGATTTTGGTTGGTTTTTTTGGAATAGAAGTAAAGACTAAAATAGAAATAGTACAAAAACATTATTATTATATTTTAAAAAGTCCTGCTGAAAAATAAAAACATATAGTTTCATACTCACCAAAGTAAATATTCACAATAAAACGTATTATGCCGTAATCGAGATCTCTTGATACTTTTATATACGAGTACATTACTCGCTTCGGCAGTTTATAGTGAACTGTTGTGGCGTGATCGTCCGATAACATTGCTTGTTTTTCCGATTGGCCTATCAATCATCGGAAGATGTCTGTGCATTTTTGCTGTTAGCTAATTAACGTTCCTTAACGATTTTAATTTAGATATTTTCAAAATATTGGTTTAAAATTGAATGGGTAAAAATCTCTATGATTTCAGAATGTGTCTTTTATTGATAGAATTTTAGATTGTTGTATTATTAAAAATCTGATATTTGACAATTTTGAATTAGTTTGTAAGAAACCAATTTCAGATACCTACTCAAACAATACATAATATTATTAATAAAATAAAAATGTTATACAATAAATTAAATTAGAAATCTTATAGAAGTAATTATTTTTTCTCGTATAAATAATAATTCATTTGTTCACTTAGGTCATATTTTTTGAAAAAAGATTTATCAAAATATTATATAAATATTTTTAGAAATAATAAATGTATTACTTGAATGGTTGATTGATAGACCATGATATTGACTGATAGTGAATGATGAGTTAGAAATATTTAATAAATAATATCATGCATTACTAATTTATACAATAGGAAGTGTAATAATCATTATCAAAAACTGGAGTTAATTGGCATATGCATATGTATCTTGTTAGGTAATTTAAATTTTTAAAAAAATATTATTTTTCAATAAGTTTTTCAGAGTTCTACGGAAAAATATTTTTTATAATTTCGTAATCGTCTCAAAATTACGCCAGTAGTAAATGTTTTAACATATTCACACATTTTATTTATCTAAAAAAATTTTGAGTTACCATTTATAAGACATATATATACAAAATTATTGATTATGAAAACTAAAATAAAATGTAGATATGCTGTATTCAATGGCACCAAAGTCCTCAAAATGTAGTCGAACGGAAAATTTAAAATTAAAACGGCCACAATTTCTAAATATCGGTATCATTATCGTACTGGTTGACACTATGGGATATTACCCAAAAAATATCGATGATAAATTTTAATTTAGTTATTTAGAATGTTAGCTTAATTTCGGCCCAAAATGGAACGGGTCAACACTAATTTTCAAAAGATTTAGAGCTAAAACCCGACCTGAATATCGGGTTCGGTGGAAGTGGATAGTTGCGTGTCCAGGGAGCACAGAAGCCAGGTCATTTTAGAAAGTGAAATTATTAAGTAAAATTAAAAAAAAAAACATCAATATATTGCAATTCATAGATTAGCCAAATTAATTGTATACAATTATTACAATTTTACACACTTATAATTTTTTTGCTTTAAAATATCTGTTTTTTAAATTACTCCTTATTATCATGTAAATATATATATATATATATATAATATATAAATAACACTAATATATAAATATATATAGGTAATATATAGGTACCAACTTACTATTTGGCAAACATTTTAAATACATTATTTGCATTAAAAATAGTAAATACCTAATTAGTAAATTTCTTCTTTTTGAAAGTGTATTTGGTGGTAACATTT